GGTGGTGTCCCACTGAGTCCGTTCCAATTCATTGCAACCCCATATAGGGTCCACAAGACCAAAAATCTTTATGGGAGAAGAAACCTTCATCTTTCTCCTGAGCAGTGACTGATATATTTGAACTTCTGACCTTGAGGTTAGCAGCCCTACACTACCAGGGCACCTTCATTGAGAAAACTGTATCAATAAAATTAAACCAAACACATTGCCTTCAAATTGATTCTCACTGGTAGTGACTCTGTAGGACAGAGTAGAATTGCTCCATAGAGTTTCTGAGGCTGTAATCGTACAAAAGCAGACTGCCACATTTTTCTCCCATGGTTAGTCAAATACTTAAGCACTAAGTCACAGATATCTCAATGGTTCAGCTTTCACAGTTCTGACTGACAAAGTTCTACAAACTTTCTGCTCAATGGATGCTGAAATTATTGCATCAACATCAGCTGCAGACAAGAGCAGAGTTTTCAATGGAATTTTAAACAAATGGAATCAAGATCCAGAAGCAATTCTGGGGGATGCTCAAGGCATTTTCCTTGTTGGCTTTATGGAGAGCCAAAAAACAATAACATGGTCTTATTAGGAGAGTGTTTTGAGCAAGTTAGCTAAAGCTTTGGCAGAAAAGACGACCCCCAAATGATGGATTGGCACAGTGGCCCCAGCAATGGGCTCCTACATAACCAAATCGTAAAGATGGCACAGGACAGGGCAGTTTTATTCTGTTATACATAGGGTCACTATGAGTCAGAACCTACACAACGACACTTAACAACAACGTTATTGTTATTTGCCGTTGAGTTGGTTCCAACCCACAGTTACCCTGTACAGGGATTCTGAGGAGTGGCTGGTGAGTTTGAACCACTGTACTTGCAGTTCAAAATGACTTGCAGTCTAGTGCCTATCCTATAGTACCACACCAGGACTTCAACAAGAACAATAACAGTAGGAAAACCACTGAGGCAGTTTTACTCTGCGAACCTTAAGGTCAGCAGTTCAAAACTACGAGCTGTTCCATGGGAGAAAGATGAGGCTTTCTGCTCCCATAAAGATTTACAGCCTCGGAAACCCTGTACAGGGTCTCTATGAGTCAGGACCAACTCCATGGCACACCACCACTATAGGATCGCTTATGAGTTACAACCCACTCAATGACATGGAAAAAAATGGAAATTAAGAGATAAAGAAAGTGAGAATAGGTGGGATACTTTAGTACTATGGTTGAAACCCAGGATATTTTATAGGAAGGAAAGGGTGTAGAGATGGCAGATAGAATGAGATACAAATATATGAGAGAAGAAATCAGGATCTTGATTTTGTATTACAAGTGTTAGTATGAAGTCATGATGTAGTTTACTTGAGAAAACAAAAAATAACTAGTTCTCTAGCTAGTTCCTCTTTGAAAGATCTGAAACCGTGACCTACTCAAAGCAATTTGTATTCTCGGTGCCTAGATTTTGATCTCCCAATTCTATTTCTCATTAATTTGGAACAAAGACCCTGAAAGAAATGACTGATTGTGGTTTGAGGCAACAAATATGTAAAATAAGTCTGGAATATCTTTGTACATTAATATGAAAGGGAGCTACCAAAGACTTCAAAAGCCAAGTTGAATAGACTACAATTGTATCAAAATAAGACACTTTGAATATCAGTAAGATAAAGGTCTGAAAGAAATTGAAGCATAACAAATATGCTTAGTTAATAAAGCCAAAATGTGTGAAAAATAAAACAGTAATTGCTTGTATTTGGAAGATGGTGAATCAGATCATTATTTTAAAATTTGACAAGTAAAAGAAAAGTATCAAGCATTTATCCTGCCTTCCCTATGTTGTTGTTGTTAGTGTCCTTGAGTCAGTTCCGACTCATACAGAGTTTCTAAGGAGCAGCTGTGAGTTTGAACCACCAACTTTGCTGTTCAAACCAACCTTGTAGTCCAGCACATTAACCAGCAGTGCCACACCAGGAAACTATATTATTAGAAATTTTCCAGCTAAAGAAGAAGAAATGTTAGAATTAGATAATATCAATTTGAAACCGCTAATAATTTCGTGGAGTCCTGGTGTGGCACTGTAGGATAAGCACTTGACTGCTAACATCAAGGTTAATGGTTTAAACCCATTAGCCACTTCACAGAAACTTGATACAGGGTTGCTATGAGTTGTAATCAACTTAACGGCACTTAATATTAACAAACGATGGTTTTGTGAATCTGGGCATTTATAATCAACTGCTGCTAACCCAAAAAGAGAACCAAACATACATATAACTCCTCATGAGTATACAATATGGTATGTTGTAAGTAAAGTATACTTGCTAAAAAATAATCAGGATGAATATGATAAAGACCCTGGCACTAATTGCTCATTAATAGGAGGTTAGAGCCACCAAATGAATGGAATAAAATGTCCATGATGTGAGAGACACTTACTATCAAGTAATCCACTTTTCAACTAAAAGAACTACAAAGTAGATAGAGAGATTGAGAGAGAAAATTAAAGACAGAAAGAGAAGAGAGGGAGGGGAAAAGGAAGAAAGAACCAAGAGATTTAAAGAGAACACAATATCAAACAATCAAATTGTTGAATCTTATTTAAATATAGATCCAAACAAAGGAAATAATTTTATCATGTCCATAACTATATTGTTGTTGTTGTTAAGTGCCACAGAGTCAGTTCTGACCCATAGAGACCCTGTATAGGGTTTCCAAGGAACAGCTGGTGAGCTTGAACCACTGATTTTGCGGTTCAAACCAAGTTTGCAGTCCAGCACTTTAACCCACAGTGTCACACCTGCACTTTTGTCCATAACTATACAGGGTCACTCTGAGTTAGAACTGACTCAGAGGCACTTAATAACAACAACGTAACATTAAAGGTTTATTATAATTTATAGTTACGATAGTGAACACAGTGGCTCCATATGATAAGCACTGGACTGCAATCCACAAAATCATAGGTTCAAGCCCACCAGCTGCACCACAGAAAAAGATAAAGCTTTCTTTCTATTCCGAAGATTTAAAGCCTTGGAAACTTTATACAGAGTCACTATGAATCCGCATTTAACAACAACAACAACATAGTTATGATAATAGCATTATGATTATGATGTTTAAAGATTGTTTATCTTAAATAAATGTTTCCATAAATAATTATCAATTAAGTTATATGACGTCTAGCATTTGCTTTTAAATAATCAATGGGGAGGGGGAGTAACAAGGTGTACAGATAAAACAGAATTGGCCATGAAGTTGTGATAAATAAGGTCCTTGAGTGGTACAAACAATTTGTATTCAACTACTAAAACAAGCTGCTCCTTGGAAACCCAATACAGGGTTGCTGTGAGTTGGGACGGACTCAACAGCACTTAACAACAATACTAAAAGTTACTAGTTTGAACCCACTTAGAGGCACTGAAGACTCCTGATGTGGTGCTGTAGAATAAGCACTGGACTGCGAACCACAGGGACAGCGGTCCAAACCCATCAGCTGCTTCCTGGAATCATGTACAGAGTCGCTATGGGTTGGAACCAGCTCTACAGAATTTAACAACAGAGGTGCTGAGGGACAAAGTATGAGAGGTCTGCTTCTGTAAAGATTATAGTCAAGAAAATACTATGGAATAAGATTAACATACAAAAAGCAGTTGTATTCTTTTACACTAATCAAGAGAGCTCTAAAAAGGAAATCAGGAAAACAATACCATGTACAATAGCCACCCAAAAGATTAAATACTTGGGAATAAATCTAACCAGATTAACAAAAGTCCTATATAAAGAAAACTACAAAACACTACTACAGCAAACCAAGTGAGGCCTGCATAAATGAATATACCATGCCCGTGGATAGGAAGGCTTAACTTTGTGAAAATGTTAATACTACCCTAAGCAATCTCTAGATATAATGCAGACCCAATCCAGAGTCCATCATCATTCTTTAAAGAGATGAAAAACTAATCACTAACTTTATATAGAAAGGAAAGAAATTCCGGATAAACAAAGCATTATTAAAAAGGAAGAACACAGTAGGAGGGCTCTTACATCCTGATGTCACAACCTTCTACACAGTCATAGTAATCCAAACAGCTTGAAAGATACATAGATTAATGGAACAGAATTGAAAACCTAGAAGTATATCTGTCAACCTACATTTTGTTGGGAAATCTTGGGCTTATCCTACAGCACTACACTAGGACTCCAGTATTCCATATTGTTGTTGCTAAGTGCTGTCGAGTCAATCCCGACCCATTGTGAACCTGTTGTATAGGATTTCCAAGAAGCAGCTTGTGAGCTTGAATCACTGACCTTACAGTTCAAACGACTTTGCAGTATAACACATTAGCCCACAGGACCACACTAAGATTCCAGTATTCCATGTTAGAACGATATAAATTGGTAATATACTTTAAACTGTTTTCTGAAACAGGCTGAACAATCCAAACTAAGGCTAAATAAACCCAAAGATTTTAGAGTGTTAGTTTATGGAAATCTTTTCTCTGGTATTATAAGTTTTTGTTAAGTGCCATCAAGTCATTTCCAACTCATAGTGACCCCATGTACAGATTCCCAGAAGTGGCTGATGGGTTTGAACTGCTGAATTTACAATGAGCAGTCCAGTGCTTATCTTATTTTGCTACACAAGGACCCTGGATTATGATGTTGTTGTTGTTAAGTGCCATTGAATCCGTTCCAACTTATAGTGTCAAAGTATAAGGTTTCCAAGGAGCAATTGGTGGGTTTGAACTATCGACCTTTCAGTTTGCAGTCTAGTGCTTACCCTACATTGCCATGCAAGGTCAGATTGAACCACAGTGTTGATGGTTCAGACTCACCAGCCACTCCTTGGAAACTCTATACAGGATCGCTATGAGTTGGAACCAACTCAACAACGCTTAACAACAGTAACAGCAACTGAGTGCATGTCTTAAAACTATTTCATGGTTTGTTTGTTTTTAACATCCATTCAACTGAATACATGTGTTTAAGAAATGTTTCATGTTTCTTCTAGGATTGTGGAAAAGGGATATTATAGTGAACGAGATGCTGCAGATGCTGTTAAACAAATCCTGGAGGCAGTCGCTGTAAGTATTATAAAGTAACTGCATGGTATAACTCTTAGTAATCATTTCCTTTTACAGAATAGCCATTTAAAAAGTGTATGTATCCAGCTGATATGAAGTGAGGGGAGACGCACAAGAACACCCAAACTTGCATTTGACCTATCCTAGATGGCTTGACAATTAGAACTCGACTAGAGGATGATTCCTGGTGTGGCATTGTGGGTTAATGCACCAGACTGTAAAGCCATTTGAACTGCAAG